GAGACTGCATTCTCTCTGTGTATTGTGTTAAACTACTTGAAGGACCAGTTTAAGATCTTGTTAAACAAATAGCTGTTTCATGCATCTCATTTGCATTGCAGTTCAGCATATGTAAAAGAATTTCACTCTCGGTATGATGAAGCTTTTTCAGCCATAACAAGCAGCACACTTAACAAACTGATGTGAGAGTCACTCCCCTCCTCACAGTGAATGTGCCCTGGAGAGAGTTGTGCGTTTGTTTGTTTGCTTCACAGGATCATGACGAAACCTGAGGACTGAAAGGTGGCGCCTCCTCCAGTACTAGAACCTTTGAACACCGTGACAATTTGCTCTGTCTTTATTGCTCTCTTCTCCTCCCTCCTTTCAATTACTAATAACATCCTCCCCCACTTTTGTTCACTTTTGTCCTCTTCTCTTTCTCCCAGCTTGGCTTTGTTCAGGCTGATGACCACAGCAAATTATCTCTGTATTTCAGACAAAGAAGCAAACATAGTTTTATAAGAAACTCTAGTGCTTTTTAACCAGTTTTGATGAATAATATCTGCATTATGCCTCCCTGAAGCCGCAGTGAGATGATAAAAATAGTTCACAGCCTCCATCAATCCTGCCGAACATATACAGTGGCCAGATAAGAAGCTTAAGGAATAGAGGAATGTACTGGCACCTGCTTGTCCCAGGAAAACTGCAGTGTTTTTGTGTAAGAGGCGACCTACAGGATTACAGCAAGAATTTCAGTTTCACAGTCTTTAGCCCTGAGTTTGAACCCACAGGCAGGCTAGCAAACTAAACAGCGACGGTAAAAGCTCTTCTGAAAAATATATCTGTTCCAGGTCCTATGTGTTGGATTAATAATTTTAATAATATTTAACTGAGTTCTGCTTCAGCAATGAGGAAATTGTGAGTGGAAATAATTAGTATTGGCTGCTGGATTATGGAATAATACTGTAAGGAAGTTGAATAGGGAGAATTTGGAAGAGTATTTGTACCTGCTTGTTAGGTAAGTGAAGATCCAGAGGACAAAGGTGGACTGAAATGAATCCCCTCCCATAGTGTTACGTTGGGGCAGGGCTTGCATTGAGACAGACAGATATAGACTGCTGCCTGTCAAACCTGTTGTCATTTCTCCAGACAAGTTTAGCTGCCTACTTTGTATTTAGAGATCGCTTGCGTTCTACTCACCTGCCAAAATGATGGAAGAAGTGTCTATTGCTGTGGCCTATGATGCCCATATTATTGACCAGATGTCAGAGGAGGAGATCCTGGCTAGTCTAGTAGTGGAGACTCTACCAAAACAAGTGGTAAGTTCAGCACCCTTTGACCTCATGTTTGTCACATGTTGATTCAAACCTGGCATTCTGGAATTTTTAAGGCGTAGCACAATAGCAAGTTTTAATTCAAATCTCTTTACAACAATGCAGAAATATTAGTGCATTAGCGATCATTTACTTTTTGCGATTGTTTACTCCTTGGTGCTCACGAACATATTTTCTATATAATATTAGAATAAATACATGATGTACAAAATAAATTATTTTTCAAATGTTTTATCATTAATATATATATATATATATATATATATATATATTAATGTAATTACATGTAAATTAATAAAAAGTAGATATTACATAATGCATAAAATACATTTTGTATATTATTATTTTACTTTTTATCATTTTTATTAATTTATATATGTATATATGATCATATATAATAATAATGTAATATATAATAATGAATTAATATTTATTAAAATGAATGTATTTAAATATAAATTAATCAAAATTTAATCAACATTTCAAGAAATACAGCTCATATCAATCCTGCAATCATTACTGTATAATATGTTACAGTACATTCCTTTCATGCCTTTAAGAGTTTGCACACCTGATATAATCTGAAACGTCTTTGAATCTTCTTTTTGAACAGGTGCCCTCTAAAAAGTCAAAATTAAGGGATAACCAAGTGCAGCCAGAAGACCCACTCGACAGGTACGAGGTAAGAGATCACACCTTGACGAAAACAAAAGGCTTCTGTCCTCCTTTCGCAACACACACATCTACAAAAACTGTATAGTTCTTTCAACATCTACATTTTGTGAAAATTGCATAATCATGCATTGAATACTTCAGGGTTTTAGATCTGTGGGATAAAAGAATGATTTCTCTTTCCAGAGAGAAAACCGTAAGCTTCATGAGACCAGTTTGCGCCTGGAGCAGGAGAATGATGACCTTGCGCAAAAACTTGTCACCAGCAAGATTGCACTGAGGAATGCTTTAGATCAGGTCTGTCAAATTATTACGAGTCGTGCATGTCATACGCAACAGGCCAGTTTCATTTTCTGTTTTATTTGCTGCGTATGTTTAGATAGATCTGCTGTGTTTTTCAGACTGAGGACCAGGTGGATGAATTAACCAAGGAGCTTTTGAAAACCAAACAGCTTCTGATGGTTACAGAGGAGGAGAAAAGGGGAAAGGAGGAGGAGGCTGCACAGGTGGGTGAACACAATAAAGAGTTTTTTGACATTCTCTGTCCTTGTCTAAAGTATTGATGTGTTTGACAGCTAAAAGGGATGTTTAGGAGAGAGCTGGACAAAGCAGAAGCAGATATTAAGAGATCAAACAATATCATTACAGACTACAAGCAGGTAAACATTCAATTAGAACTCCACACATTCAATAAACATTATTGCATTTGATGCCAACTTTCAGCCCAATTTATTGCATCCTTTAGATTTGCTCTCAACTGAATGCTAAACTTGAAAACCAGAAAGCTCAAACTGACAAAGAGCTGGCAGTTTTCAAGGTAAGAAACACACTGACCTCAAAGCACCTTGACCTTAACCATTAGTAGCATGATATTTAGTGATACATGATACTTTTTCAGAGCAAGATGTTGGAGTGTGAGCGCTGCCGACACATCTTTAGTATGGATGGATCGATTCAGCTGTGCTCTGAGGAAGAAGATACCTGTGCTCAGGATGAAGTGAAGGCATCTCTCAGAGAACAGGTCCAAGAATTAGAGAGAGAGCTGGCCCAGACCAAGCTACAAATGGTGGAGTCCAAATGCAAGATACAGGTAAGAGTCTTTGTGTTATTATTAACACTTCTAATTCTGGAAGTATTTCTTAATTAACCAAGAAAAGCTATATTAGAAGTTTTCTTGTTAAACTTTCCATGTAAAAATTAAATAAAAAAATTAAACAATTAGTAGAAACTTTTCATCCATTACATAAAATGTAAAAATAATTACTGTATAAATATAACACTTTACAATAAGGTTCAGTTTTGTTAATATTTGTTAATGTATCAGGTATCATTAACTAATAACGAGCAATATTTTTCAGCATTTATTAATCTACAGTACTTTCTGCATATACTAAAACATTTTTAAGAATTCAAGTTGTATAAATTAACATTGGTTTGTGTATTATGAATAACATGACTCGACACTCTCAGAAAAAAAAGGTATAAAAGCTGTCACTGGAGCGATACCTTTTCAAAAGGTACACATTTGTACCTTATTTATCCCTAAAGAGTGCATATATGTACTTTAAAGGTACATACAGTATCAGTACCTAAAGAGTTAATGGTACATACTTGTACCTTTCAAAAAGGTACAGCCCCAGTGACTGCTTTTGTTACTGTTTTTCTGAGAGTGAACAATAAGCCACAGTAAATTTATTAATATTATCATAGATAAATGCTGTTAAAAATATTGTTCATTGCTCATGATACCTAATGCAGTACCTTATATTAAACACTTCTGAGATATGCTGTTGATATTTGAAATGACCAAAACAAACATGCCCCTACCCAAAAGTATCACAACCCTATCTTGATAGCTCCACCCCTGTATTCACAAACATGCTACATGCAACAGGCACCTCCCCCATCATGACTGGACACGCCCCTTGCTGGTGATTGGCTACAAGTGTGTTTTGGTGCTCAGTCTGATCCGTTTCTCATAAATCACTTACTGCACCTTTAAAGAATTGAAGCTTATTATTAAGTGTTATTGAAGTGTCATTAATTAATTTAAATGTATACTTTAAGACTACAAATTATATTTCATTTTTCTGTCTATCATCTTGATGTCCTAAGGAGCTGGAGCACCAAAATGCACTACTGACGACTGAACTTCAGGCTGCTAAAAACACATGGCTGAGAAAAACTTTGGGCTCTTTCAGGACAGCTGCCAGCAGCCATCAGAACTCCTCTCAAACAGATCCTGCCTGGAGCCCCACTCATAACCCCCACTCCAGCTGGGTCACCAGAAGGCTCTACTGGGCCCATCGAGAAGGGAGAGCAGCCAAAGTATGAAAAGGTTAAGCATACTGGTGGAGAAGAAAAGTATTTAATAAGAGCACTCCTGAAATGAGTCTCACAGATGATGAGAAGGCTTTTCCCTCAAACCAGAGGACATTATAGATCCGTATGGTTGTAAACGTTGGGAATGAGAGGATTCTCAAAAGATGGGCGACAGAGGGAAGCAATATCTGCCCCTCCAGAGATGAGTGCAACAGATCAGTTGCTTTTAAGGCAATCTCACATGAAGACTATATGAAGTTTTTGTTTTGCTGCGAGTTTAAGCATGTTTTACAAAAGTCACACTGCAAAAACATTTTTCCAGTGAACCTAAAGATTATGCCTCATGTGGTAACATCTAAATGAGCTGGTTTCAATTTAATTTCACAAAATCAACCTAACTACATTTGGTTACATCAACAAAAGTAATTTTAAGGGTTATAGAGCAGGTACAAACAGCTCTTTACGGTAACAATTGCCTTCTAATGCTTTTTATGGTCCACTGTTGGTACTGTAAAATGTGAATGTATTTCTTTCATTATGTTCTACAACAAATAAACTTTATCAAGTCAAGACAATTATCAACATAGTGACAAAATGGCCTTTATTTCAATTGTAAACCACCAATTGTTCACTAATACAGAGAATAAAGCTTTTAATATTTGATATATGGTTACATGGTTTGGATCACAAATAGTTTGCATGTTCAAAGTAATAGCAGAAATATTAGCGGACCTTATAATACATAAAAAGAGATGAGCTCATAAAACAATATAAACAAGTAAATATGGATGCAAACAGAAACAGAAAGATACGATTTGCTAATACTGATATGCATGCAGGACCTTCAGCCAGGGAAAATAGACTTGAGCTCTACTCAGACCGCTCATCAGGATTGTAAAGATCATCAAAATAGCCCTCAGTGGCTCTGAGCATCTGAACAACAGCATTTAGAAGCAGTATGTCAGTTTGAGAATCTATTTCCAGTTCATGGCAGTAGTTTTTCACTGGTACCACAGCAGACAGAGAGACTCCAAGCTGAGCGCTAACCTCCTGCATCTGTCACAAAACAGTTAATCAGAAATACTCAATATATGGGAAACAGAACAGTACAGAATACTGACTACAAAGAAATGTATGTTAAAGTACCACTTTGTTGATGTAGTGGCTCTGGTAGACATTTTTCAGGTCTCCTGCCACTAAGGGGCAGGTCTCATCCATCTTAGTCAGCAGAACCAGCTGAGGAATTTCGGAACAGAATAATGTTAATTGAATTTCCATAATTTAGATGACACAACACACTCATGTCACTTGAAATTAATTCAAATCTGCTTCATTTTTGTTTGTCACTTACTCAGCTGGTTGGTTTTCCTTTGAAAAACTGCAAATTTCTCAATCATTTTGTCAGAGAGGAGCTTGACTTTGCAGGTGTCAATCACATACACCACACAGTGAATCTTGTCCTTCAAGCCAGGAGATTTATGGAAATGAGGGGAGTCAGGCTGTATAGGCATCGATGGGTTAAACTAAGAAAACAAAAGATATGAAGAATATCTTTAAATCATTCAGATTTAAGACAGAAAATATAGAATAAAAATATATATAATAATAATAATGGTAACACTTTATTCTAAGGAGTCCTTGTTACACGTTACATGTACTTACTATTATAATAACAATTAATTATGCATAATTACATGCAAGTAACCCTACGCCAAACCCTAATCCTAACCAACCCATATAGTAAGTACATGTAGTTAATTAATATTACTCAGTACTTAAATGTATAATTACACTGTAACAAGGACACCTTAAAATAAAGTGTAACCATAATAATAATATATATAAGTAATGTCCATAATTTTTTATTCTTCTAACTAATTAAAAAGTAAAACATCTTCCAGACTTATTAACTATCATGTTTACCTTTTACCTAAAGTTCTTACCTGATATCTGTCTTGAATGTGTCCCTTCAAAATGCTGGCAAAATCATCTACATCCAGGCCGGTGTTCAAACCCTCCTCCAGACCCATCGAGTCACACAGAGTGAAGGGAACATGGCTGACACCACTGCCTGGCTTTATGTAGTAGGTACGGAACTACATGGCACAAATATTTACCAATTATTTTCAATACACAAATACATACATACATTTTTTTATAAATAATCACATTCCTTCACAAAATATTTCACTCTGTAAAACATCAGAGGTGGCATAATCAGGATACATGTCTACCTGAATAGTCAAACTGGTGCCAGCAGTGCCAGTGTTGGCCTGGCTGCTCACATAACCCTTGAATACAGAGTTGATGGAGTTGAAGAAACTTGATTTTCCAGCACCAACAGGACCCACCAGTAGAATCCGAGCCTGTTTAACTGAGCTAACAAAAGGCTTCCAACCAGAGATGATGCTCAAGAGCGCCTTTCTTCTCCTAAAAACATTATTAATTATCATTGTCAAATTCCTTAAACACTCCCAGGGACACAGTAGGTCAGGAATAATTCTTAAAAGACCTTGATCTTAAAACAATGAGAACAGACCAAATTAACATTTAAATTATTTTAAAGAAGACAGCAAATTTGGTTTGCTTTACTCACTCAGAGTTCCACTGCACATTTCTCCACGGTTTCTCCATGAGTGCTCCATAACCTGATGAAAATCCACATAAGTTATTCACAGAACAGTTACTTAAAGTGCATTACTCTTTCAGCAATGATCTAAAAAGTAGCACAAAATAATACAAACCTTCCACTCTGTACACCTCACATTCTGTCAGCTGTAAATCATTCCCATGCATCTGCTGTGGATCGAATTGGTATGTTCCTGGATTACTGTAGACGCTGGCTGAGTTATTATAAAGAAACACTAAAGAACCAAAGTCTGGTCCTGTGTCAGTGAAAGCATACTGGGGATTTCCACTGAGCACACGCAAAAGATCTTCTTTAATTTCTTTGTCATTAAAGCTGAAGAGAAAAGCTTTGTCATCCACAACATTTTGGTTGGTTTGAAGAAAATCCTTGCAAGTAAAAGCTCCAAAAACATATCCAGACTCATTGCAAGCTACAATAACAGTTGGTCTCTGCATATTACACTTTTGGTGAAATGCATTAGCATTGTAGCCATGCACACTGGCTTTGAACAGCAGGCTAAGGTTGGCATGGTTGAACAATGAGCAGAGCTTCTTCTTCTGCCATTTATTCAAGCTGGATGTCACGGTGCTCATAATGATCTGAAAAACATACAACCAACACTTTTAAAGCACGCTGTTATAATGAAATAGAAATAAAAGATCTTTTAAAAGTATTTTGAAAAATATGTCCAACACATAAGCTGCGTGTTGTCCCCAAATTCATCTGAAAGTGAGTTATCCAAACTGTTAAATTATATTAAGTAGACTATGCAAAAAAAAAGTAAAAATAATAATAAATAAATAAAAATTCTTGCAAAAAAAAAACATGAAATCAGCCTACGTTGGAACAAGTCGTCAATCGCCTGCCTTCTCCGTTTGGTACCCTGAAAGAGATTACTTTCGTTTTTGCTGGTACGCAACTCACTTTTATTTATTTTTTTCCCTCAAAAATGAAGCGTGACGTCACGTCGAGAAACCTTTCGGCACGCCCATTACTCCAAGCTGCAGCTACCCCTTGGGCCACCAGGTGCTCCCGATGGCCAGTCCGGGCTTGCTCCATTCCCCCCACTCCTTTTTTTGTGACTGACAATGCTCTGAAGATCGAAAATGTTTCTGATGCAAACAATGTATTTATACTGCTTTAAACCTTTATTGTGTGTTTAAATAACCTATCGTTGAGATTTAACTAAAATAATGTTATAACTCATAGTAACAAAAACTTGTCTCCATCTGTTTTTATAGGGTCTATGGTCTCCATATGTGTTTGAGTGGCTCAAAAGTGACCGATCCATTGCACTTATCTCCAGAGGAGTGGAGCAGCTTTATTAGATGTAATTTCTAATAATTGTTATTAAGGAGATTTAATTAAGGAGGAAAAAACATCACATTAAAACATCAAAATATCATCACATTTATTTTATACAGTTAAAATGAATTGACTGTAAGCTAACTCGTTGAGGGCATCTATAGTTAGGGTTGCCAACTTTAGAAAATGAATATACGGGACAATTTTGAAAATACAGGGGGTGACCGTGTAGGCTACACACACATAGAAAGTGTTAGAGTTAGAGGGTCAAATAAAGGTGGAACAGATGTGTTTTTCGTCGTTTCTTGAAGATGGTTAAGGACTCAGCTGCTCCGATTGATTTGGGTAGGTCATTCCACCAGGAGGGAACAGTTAATGAAAAAGTCTGTGAAAGTGATTTTGTGCCTCTTTGAGATGGCACAATAATACGCCGTTCACTTCAGCTTCTAGAGGACACATAACTCTGAAGTAATTAATGTAGGTAAAACACACACACACACACACACACACACATATATATATATATATTGTAACGTTCTCCGACAAGGACGAGGCGTTTTGATGTACAAGGGGTGTTTATTTGGGCTGTTGTCGGCCACAACCCACGCCGTACACACCCCGACTTCTAAGAGAACCGCACTTGAACCAGCGAGGCACCCTTTCTCCCCCCTCCTTCCCTCTCTTTCCCCTTACACACACACAGGGGCGGAGCCTCTTTTCACATCCAACTCGAACATCCAATAACAGTTCGCAACACAAAAATGAACACAGTGCAACACTAAAATTAAGCACATTGTTATCTATAACACAACATGCTACACTATATATATATAGCCTATATTATGCATGAAAAAGCGTATTTTTCAATTAAAGACAGCTTATAGATTTAATATGGGCTGCTTTTGGTGCTTGACACCTTTTTATTGGATATTTTGTGTTTCAAGAATAAGGTCCAAGGTTAAGATTTATGATATTAGATACTTAAATATAAAATGTTTTTCTCTATTTAACAACATTACAATAGTGAAAGACGACTTCCCTTACTGATCACGTCTCTTGCACGGCGGGATGTTGGACTCAAACATAATCACGTTGTTTGTATTCACCAAAACTGATTTACTGAAGTCAAAACACGGTCGGAATTGGCGTCAGTGCGAGCGGCGCTTGCTGTGAGGCGGGAGCGACGAGTCGGCAGAGGATTCCGCAGCCTTCCTCGAACAGTTATGCACGATTTCTGATTTACTTAACTTATACTGCGTGAGGGGGGCTGTGATTGGATGATGACAGGTATCGGTGACCATTCTCAAGTGATCAGCACCGCTGCTGTTGTATGAGTCGGTGGTTAGATCAGCGTAGCAGTCAAAAAACGGACAGTCACGTACGGGACAAATCAATTAGGCCCAAAATACGGGACGTCCCGGCTAATACGGGACGGTTGGCAACCCTATCTATAGTATATCTATGTCTTTGATATGTCTCACCTCAACTTCCTTTTTCAGTAGCAAATAGGCCTATGTCACACTCATACGCTGTCAGTCAAGACTAACCGATGCATGATTTATTATCGAATGTCACAGAACAAAACTGCACTCATAAAGTTCATTTCACAGTCCTTCCTGCCAGATTCAAAATAAGTTCTCAGTTATTGCAACAAAAAAAAAAACAGAAATCAGCTCACGTTGGAACAAGTCGTCAATCATCTTTTGGCCGGTTTGTTTGTGCCAGGTACAGAAAAATCATTGTACAAAGTAAAATCGTTTTTATATTAAATATACTGATTTACTTAAAGGGGTCATATGATGCGATTTCAATTTTTCCTTTCTCTTTGGAGTGTTACAAGCTCTTGGTGCATAAAGAAGATCTGTAAAGTTGCAAAGACTAAAGTCTCAAATCCAAAGAGATATTCTTTATAAAAGTTAAGAGTCAACCACGCCTACCTAAAACGGCTCGTTCTAACACGCCCCCACATGTCTACGTCACTATGTGGGAAGATTTGCATAACGCCGCCCAAATGTTCACGCAAAGAAAGAAGGCGTAACTTTTATTCTCGCTGTAGAATTGTTGTTGCACGCCTTGTCGTGAAGGCACTGTGTGATTCATTGTGAAAGCGAAACTACTTTGTTTGGCCTTCCAATAATGTTCTTTTTAGCAACATCATATGACCCCTTTAATATCCACAGTCACACAGTGCGTCTGACACTTTGTTGTATCCCAGGTCCCAAATGTTTTAGCGTGACCCTTGCTTGAATGGTGACTTTTTCCACAAACCAAATAGGCTCAAACCCCGCCCTGCAATCGATCTCATTGGTCAACTCAGTCATGGACTCACCTGACCTGTTAAGAAATGTTTAAACTTCAGTTCAGTCTAGATACCATGTAGGTCCGATGAGTTGCTACCTAATCAGTACAAAAAAAGTGCTGAACTTTGTAAATGTTTGAAATTTTTCATGTGTTTAGTGGTTTTTAAATGTTATAATAGTGATTTCATAATGTCTCAAGAACTACATTAGGGAGTGGAAACAGCAAATGAGCAAATAATCCTCTGCAGCCATCTACTGGTTATAGTGGAAATATCGTGTCATTTTCATTTTTAAAAGGATAGTTCACTCCCAAAATTCTGTCATTAATTACTCACCCTCATGTCGTTCCAAACCCACCCATAAGACCTTCGTTCATTTTCGAAAAACACAAATTAAGATATTTTTGATGAAATCCGAGAGCTTTCTGATCCTCCATAGACAGCAAGGAAACTACCATGTTCAAGGCCCAGAAAGGTACCAAGAACATCGACAAAATAGTCCATTTGACACCAGTGGTTCAACCTTAATTTTATGAAGCTATGATAATTCTTTTTGTGTGCAAAAAAACAAAAGTAACGAGTTCATTCAACAATTCTTCTCCCCCGAGTTACCATCTAACGCCATTATCGAGAGTACCACGACGCTTGCGCGTGCTCTTTTTCCATTTTTCACAAGTTGGTATGATTCTTTAGGGTCTTCATGAAATGTCTGTAATATATTTTAGGTTAAAATTCCTCAATTGTCGTGTAAAACAACACCCTCTTCACCTTGCCAAAAGCAGCTTTGTTCACAGCGACCCGTATCATTGCTTGTCTCTTTAAATGATAATGAGCTACTGCTCACCCCACCCCTCTCTTCCGTTGGTCAGGTCGACACAAGACACGTGAATTGCTGCCTTGGACTCTGTATATGGCTCAGAGGTGGTCTTATTCAAATAGCTAGCTATCTACATAGAAACCAGCTACAAACTCAAACAGCCCACTGGATGATACCGTTTCAGACTCATATAATTTCACCCGATGTCCCCTTTAAAGTGTTTTTCAACAGGTGTCAGAAATCTTCCACTGAAGCATAGGACAATGTCCATGAATTTTCTTTATGAATTATAATAATTAATAATAATAATAATAATAATAATAATTGGGGCAGTAGTGGTCTAATGGTTAGAGAGTCAGACTTGTAACTTGAAGGTTGCAGGTTCGAGTTTCAGGTCCGGCAGGAATTGTCAGTGGGGGGGAGTGAATAACCAGCGCTCTCTTCCACCCTCAATACCACGACTGAGGTGAGACCCTTGAGCAAGGCACCGAACCCCCAACTGCTCCCTGGGCAAA